ATATTCTCATCATATAACTTCGTATGAAGCTTGGTTCATACGGAACACTGCCCCGTTGAGCTTGCTCAATTTGGTTCCATCTAGCCCTCACTATTATTCAGTATTAGCACTCGTATCGACCGGTAAGACGCAAATCTTCTGTACTGGCCGAGCTAGCTCGTTAGTAGCTGTTCGCACAACCACGTTGCGCACTAGCCCATCTTTGCTCATTATCAGCTCACTAACTCTTCCTAAAGCCCAAGCGGATGGTGGAAAGTTTTCACTCTTGATGATGACTAGCTGGCCGATCTTTAGGCTTTCTTGCTCCTTGCGCCACTTCTTCCTCTCCAGCAAGGTTGTAAGATACTCATTTCGCCAACGTTGCCATATATGAGTTACCATGGTCTGTCTTTCTTGCCATAGCTTCCGCCCTTTGGTGCCTGGTTGTGGCGCTATATCGAATGGAGGAGGGAGAACCAGAGGTTCACCCACCAGAAAATGGCCCGGCGTTAGGGCTTGCACATCCAAAGGATCATCGCTCAATGGGTATAGCGGGCGCGAATTCAAAATTGCTTCTATCTGTGCTAGAAGCGTTAGAAATTGCTCATATTCCAGGCACTTTTGCCCTATAACACGCGTTAAATGATGCTTCATTGACTTTACGGCCGCCTCGTAAATACCACCTTGATGTGGTGCAGCTGGGGTCATAAAATGCCATTCAGTCCCCTTCAGCACTAGCTCAGAAAACATATCACTAGCTCTCCAGCGCTCATAAGCTCTAGCGATATCCTTTGAAGCACCAACAAATGATGTCCCATTGTCGCTGTACATTCTCTCACATCTCCCGCGCCTTGCAATGAATCGCTCATAACAAGCTATAAAGGCTCTAGCACTCAGATCAGTGACCATATCAGTATGCACAGTTTTTGTTTTCAGGCACACAAATATGGCTACCCAGCTCTTCCGTTTTACTACGCAACGCCCATTTTTATCTAGCTGTCCGATTTCAAAAGGTCCCGCATAATCCACACCTGAGTGTAGAAATGGTTTCCCGACTTGCAACCGATCCGCTGGCAAGTCAGCCATCAGCTGCTCACTTAACCTTTTGGCATATCTAGCACATGTGACGCACTTATGCGTGAATTTCCTAAGCTCACTTCGTAAGCGCGGTATCCAAAAACGCTGTCGAATGTATTGCATCATCACCTGAGCGCCACCATGTTTAGTGGCCTGATGCGCTTTACTTATAATCAGCTGACTCAAGCTGGAACCAGATGGAATAATTACCGGATGCTTCATTTCATAATCACATTCTGCTCTTCCGATTCTACCACCTACGCGCAGAAGGCCATTTCTGTCTAACGTTGGCTTTAGTGATTCAATTTTGCTTCCTTCAGGCATCGGTGTGTCCCTGGACAAGGCACGAATCTCCCTTAGATATTCCAGCTCTTGCGTTTCTTTAATCATCAGCTCTAAAGCCCTAGACCTTTCTTCAGCAGTAGGCACCGGAATATGAAAGTCTCCACGGCTTGACTTTCGAAGCTGTCGATTACCCTTTGCTCTCAACAGACGCACAAATCTTAGCACTTGCGACATGATCCCAATTAATCTGTCCAATGAACTAGCACATTGTACCAGCGGAACACTTTCCGCATTACCATTGCTCTTAATGCTCCATGTTGGAGTTGCTTCAACTGCAATATGCACTTTCAGCTCCGGCAAGGTTCCTTCAGGTATATGCTCATACCCAAAACCACCTTTTGGCCATTCCTTGCTTGGTTGCCTAAGCCAACTGGGACCATGCAACCATAATTGATGGCCCACAATTCCACTAGCGCTCATACCCCTAGTAAGAAGATCAGCTGGATTATCACTTGTTTTCACATGTCGCCATTTATTGATGTCAGTATTCGCCTGAATAGACGCCACCCTATTTGCTACATAGACCTTCATCTGGCACGGCAATTTCCGTAGCCAATGCAGGACTATGGTTGAATCCGACCACATCACATAGTCTACTGCCTGCCATTCCATGCTCCGTACAACGCTCAAGTATAACCTACCTAAAAGCTCAGCAGCAGCAAGCTCAAGTTTAGGAATTGTTATTGTCTTCAATGGCGCAACCCTAGCCTTGGAAATTAGCAACTCAGAACTTATCATTCCCAGACTGGACACAACTCGCACATAAATCACTGCCCCGAAGCCTTTCTCAGATGCATCCGCAAATCCATGCAACTGAATAGTTGCATCGTTTGATACACGAATATATCGAGGTAACTTGAATCTTTCTAGCTCCGAAATATCTTTCCAGAATTCTAGCCATCTATCTTTAATGCTCTGAGGAACCTGCTCGTCCCATCCCATGCTCAGTCTCCACAAATCTTGCACTATTATTTTTCCAATAAATGTAACTGGTGTTATATAACCATTTGGATCATAAAGTTGTGCAACACAACTTAGAACAATTCGCTTGCTAATCACCACAGGTACCTCTGGCGTCTTCACCACAAATGTAAATTCGTCGCTATCAGTATGCCACTTCAAGCCTAGCACCGATGTATCCGCATTATCGGACAGCAACAATGTATTCGGTTCTTTTGATTGGAAAGCATTTACTAGCACTTTGCTATTGGACTGCCACTTACATAGTTCCATACCAGCACTACCTAGCACGAATCTCATTTCTCTAGCTAATCTGATCGCTTCGTCATCATTACTTGCCCCTGTAATTCCATCATCCATATAAAAAATCATCAATAATAGCTCTAGCTGCTGATGGAAAATATTCCAACTGATCCCTAGCTGCCTGAATTAAGCAACGCACTGCTAAATGTGCTGATGCAGTCATCCCATATGTAACCACTGTTAAGCAGTATTCACGCAACTTCTCTCTGGGACTCTCCCGCCAAAATATCCGCTGTAAGTCATACTGGCTCTCAATAATTCGTATTTGTCTGAACATCATTTTCACGTCACAGCTTATTCCAATTTTATGCCGCCTAAAACGCATTATAATGTCGGGAAGATCACGCTGCAACTTCTCACCAAGCATTTGAACTTCATTTAGAGAAACTCCTGCATCGGTCTTGCAACTAGCGTTGAATACAACACGAAATTTCTTAAGCACACAATGGTGTGGAATATAGTACACTAGCTCACTAGGAGGCGGACTATTCTGAGCCTCTTTCATGTGTCCAAGTCGCTCATACTCGCGCATAAAATCTATATATTTCCGAGCAATTTCGGGTTCCCTAGCTAATCTCTTTTCCAAATAGAAAAACTGTTTTAATGCAATTGAACGGGAGCTTCCTAATCTACTAGCACTTTTTATGGGGATTGTCACCACAAAGCGTCCAAAATCATCCCGGTAATACGTATCTATAAACATCTGCTCAACAATCTCTTGCTCTTTTGTTCGGATTGGTGAGTCACGGACGTGATCCATTTCCCACAATCGCTGTACTTTCTTATCTAGCTCTTCAAGACTAATGCAACCTATAGTGGAGAAAGCAGTCCCAGTCTCATAGTTCATTGGCTCAATGTATGGCCCAAGCACAACAATACCAAACGTCGTTTCAATCATGGTAGTGTTATCCGAGTTTCTGGCTATTAATCCAATCAGACACTTTGCAAACACTTGCACGCCTAGCACAATCTGCACCTCACGTGATTCCCAATAACAAGGATTAGCAAATGGCACTTGTCCCGGATTCGCCAATCTGGTCAAGCTGGACTGACCAGATGGCACTACTAGCTTCAGCCCACCCTGTCCAGGCAATATCCAAAACTCTGCCTCAATATATTGACGCGACTCATACCATGGCATAACCCTAGCACTTATTTTCTTTTTGACAACAAATGGTTGCCCTTCTATGCCCACCATGTGCCTGCAGACATTAGCCGCAGGCAATTGATATGCCTTGAAAATGTTATGCGAAATCAGATTTGGCTGTGCTCCTGAATCCAACAATGCGTAGAATGGCCCAATTTCAATACCATTGATCTCCAATCGAACAAGGGCAGTAGGTAAAAGAGACCTACTTCGTCTAGTTGCGGTCCCAGATGCCTGGAACTGACCCCCAAACTCTAGCCCCAGCTCATCTTGATCATCAACCAAATTAAACGCACAGCTGTACGAGGGTGTGTGCACTTCTGCCTGTTTATTACTACTATGCTCTAACACATTAAGTTCCATTACCTCATCTGCTCCTAGCTCCGTCCTGCTTCGTTTACTTGCTTGTCAGAACGTCATGTTGCCATTCTCCGGTTTGCGTTTCACTACCGACTTTGATGGGCTACTAGCTCTGTTAGGATTACCTTTGTCCTGCACCAGCATCAAATGCTTGTTGACTTCCCTGGTTGGGCACAAAACGCTATTATGAAGAATTTTACCCGGACAGCGATTGCAAGGTCCTGAGTAACAATCCTTTGCAGCATGCCCCTGCTTAAAACAATTTGGACATAACTTATGCCGCTCTACGTATGCCTTGCGTGACCGCAAATTCAAGCTCAAGAAATCTGGGCATTTGTAGAGCCCATGATCTCCTTTACATAGATGGCACGGATATGTTTTCTTCTCTCGCTCGTTGCTCTTCTGCCCAATGCTAGCTCTGGTCGTACTCGCTCCATTGCTAGCCCCTTGGTGAGCCCTCTTAATTTGGCTAGCACGTGTTGTCGTCGAAGCTGCACTAGCCTCTCGTGCACGACGATTATCCGCTTGATGTGAGGAAGCGGCAGCCTGCTTATCTAGGAACGTGAGTATTTCAGCTGCCGTTGGCGTTTCGGATTGCCGCTGAAGTTCCCATGCTTTGCCAGTTTCTTCATCTAGGCGCTCATGTAAATTATGCACAACAATCATATCCCAATGCTCAACCGGCAACCCCTGTGCCCGCAACTGGCGTAATGTCTCATGGGTGACATTCGCCATACGCTGAAGTGCATCCGAAGATGCACGCTCCAAAAAAGGCAATCTATAAAATTGACGCAAATACTCACGGCACGTGTGGTATTTCTTATCATACAGCTGTTTTAATCGCTCCCAAGCTTCATGATAATTCTCATCGGTCAACTGCCACTCGCCCAAGGTACGTGCGGCCTTGCCCACTAGCGACTTCTGCAAATAAGTAAACTTAAATGCTGGCGCAACTTGCTCATTATCGTGCACAGCAGCCTTAAATCGGTCATGAAACCCCTTCCATTTTGTCAAAGCGCCATCAAACTCGCCCCAATTGTTTTTCAAATCCATCTGCCGTTGTGGATATTGCAGCTCCACTTGAATATTTGCTGGCGCATTGACAGGCACTGGAGTTGGACATAGCTCATTTATTTTACCCTGCAGCGCAGCACGGGCTTCAAAATAACCTTCTTCGGCTTTCTCTAGCTCTACATCATAATTTTTAGTCTTGTCACCCTCTTTCACATCTAGTACTAGCTCATCATGCAAAGCAATGCACTGTTTCCACCTCCCTTCTAATACTTCTAAACGCGCACTAGCACCGGGATGCGTAACAGAAGCAAACTCCTCACTCCGCACATATGCAGCTGCTCGTTCAATGGCCCGAACACACACCGACAGCATCTCGACTTTCGCCATCCTGTATTTTTACTACAATGTACCTGATAAATAAAAGAATTTATCATTATTGTAACTCGCAATGAAGAAAACATTTGTATCGCAGATTCTGCTAGCATATATTTGAGCATGCTCAAATGCTAATTCAACTCAAATATCAAATAGAGACCGAACACACATGCGCACGTCTATCACTTGCACATATATTCTCAAGTTGCAGGAGTCCATTCAAATTGAATTCAACTGCCACTAGCACCACGGAAAAATGCCGCTTGCACTTCATTGTTTCCAATTCACTCGCCCACTTTAACAATAAAATTTCCTAGCTCTTGCAGAATGCTCGATATTTTCTTTGCTCTATTTATATGGACTGTATACTAGCGCTTACCGGCAATTTAAAAATAGTTTTTTTTTACTCTTAATCAAATAGTCTCGCTTTTCAATCTTCACTTCACAAAGACTTTCTGCGTAATAAAGCTCGTTACGTCTTTACACAAATCGCTTCATTCAAGCAGACGTACATACGTTAATTTCTAGCACCTTCTATTCACCACACCATACGCTCTTATTGGAAGTTTCGAATTTCATCATTATATCGCAAACTCTTAGCCCTTTGTCTCTATATTTTTCTCGCTCTATCTCGCTTATATAAACGAGTTTCACCATGCTCATTAGCTCTGTTGTACTTTAACCCTTAGGTAAGCTTTGCATTTTATCTAGCTCAATACATGTATTTCTAGCTCATTCCTGCTCACAGGAAACTATTGAAAGCAGCTCTTTGTAATTTGTATGTATGCATGTCTAGCTCCTATTTCATATACCAACAATTTTGGCTTAGCACAATGTAAAAGAACAATCTCCGATTGCACTAGCTCCTATCCGGCTCGACATGGACCAATGTTTAAGTCCCAAAACCCAAAATAAAACGCACTTTGTTTTAGTTGG